GTGTTGATGAAGTTCGTACGTTTCGAAGTTTCCTTCGTCCCTCATAGCATTTCTTTTATCGCCTGTCGATGGATACCTGTATTTCTGATCGGCACTTTTTTGCCAACAGCTCAATAAGACAGTTAAGGAAACGACTTTAGGATACTGGGTCGTCCTTATAAATATGAAAGTAGATAGATCGAGATGTTGTAGGCAGGAAGATAAAGAAAAGAGAAAAAGGAAAATCAAAAGGAAATAGTGGATAAGTTCGAAGTAGTCGAAGATCACAGCATATTTCGTAGTCTAAGATCACATAGTTCCAATCATTCCGGTTCATTACCATGTCTTTTGCTACACCCCTGAGCTCTCTTTTAGGATCAATAGAACGGAACACATGGGTACCAGCCACAAAAGTGCTGTGCTACGGGTTGAAACGACTTAAGGTGTTTGGATTGTGAAAAAACGCAGAAAATGTTATTAATAATGGAATTCCTGGTTCAACTGCACTTAGTCGCTATGTCGCACAAACAAATGAAGGAAGCTGAACCTCAGAAGTTCTGTTAAATAATACAGAACCTATTGTGCATCATGAATAGGTCGCTGTGGCTATATAGGTCACTAGCTAATGTAGGATACATGCCGAACGCAAGAACAATGGATGTTGTTATTGCAGAAATGTTGCAGCAATCTTTAATATCTATGTAACGCCCTATTAAAGATACTGGTTCATTACAGATACAATATATATTTAAAAAAAAGCACGTTTATCCAAGTCTAATACTACTCTTTGAAGGCGGCAGCTACTCGTGTCCTTCACGCTACATGGAGGACGAAGCTACTCTTGAAACTGCACTCGAAAGATACTACTGTCGTTTGTTCAGTTTCGGCAGATCTGTGCCACCAGACACCTCCTAGATCGGCAGCTCTCCCGAGACATATGACTTGCGCTCCTTGGCCTTCCTCTAAGGGCACTTTGCTGGTTACCGGGCCTGCGGTTCCACCGCCAATAGTACAGATCCGCTCCCATCGCCACGGACTTTGTTCTTTACTTAATGGAAAGTTTTTTGACGTTTTGCTTTTGGATTTTGTTTATCTTGACGATCTGTTTCCTTTGATTTTCGTGAAATCACTCACAAAGTCAACGTATGTATATCGCGATTAGCCTAGAAACCCCTCAAAAACTGAAAGAAACGTGAGAAAATACGGGCTAGATAACAAAAAAAAGGTATTCTCACTGAAATATTTGCCCGAGGCCAACCCCAAATGAATAAAGGCAGTTAAAGACTAGTGTAATAAACTAATATGTTCACATCAGCTCAAGCACTCGAACCAGCTTTATTTACTTGATCCGTCGATCCAAATATAATCCGTCTTTGTTTATCGTTTCTTCAAGGACGTGAAAATACACAGAATAGTGTTATCGAATCATACATGTTATATATTAGACTGCAATTATACTACAGAGTTGTAATAGCGACTATATTAAGAAGAGTTTTGGTACGAGGTCTACATATTGGCAACTGCAGCTGGGGGGCGAATGGCATTAACTAACCTATGCCATGCCTTCAAAACGATTTTGTCAACAAAGCACCGACCCGTTAGTGGAAAAGCATCCAACCGAGGCCGATCAATCAATACTAGGCAACGGAGTTGCTTGATAATGATATATTTGAATACATATATTTACGTTTCCCTCAGATGTGGCTTTTCAGTACCACAACGTAACTTTGAAAGGTCTAAGGTTTTGACGTCAATAAATGAGAACTACAACAAGAAGAGTGCAATAAAATTTTGTGGAAACAAAGAATAAAAATGAAGACTGCCTCTTTTATCATCATATACGAAAAAGAATACATTACCTTTTTTACATAAGGCTAAGTGCAGCGTCGTATGCAAATAGTCGGATTAACTGTACTTCAATGTACCTACTCGCTGACGAAGCTGACATAAGCACCTCAACTATCGTATCACAGTTAATTCAGTATATCCTTGCACAAAAACCCTAATAGATATTCTGTTTAGGCGTCTGCAACGTGCGCTGACTCTGGACCAAAAAGATAATAGCTAGAGTGTGTATTATGCCTTTGTTTCGAAAATAGTGATACATGGTTTCGTAGAGTAACTACTCCTACTTCCAAATCGGCTAACGGGACTGATACTGAAGCACGACGATTTTAGATTACTAAAAAGCAGACTGCTTTCACTTGACAGCTGTACGATTTCAGGCCAAAATTAATCACCTAGAACTAACGCACTAGAAAGCACTGTTTCACGCTGCAGTACGATACGTGCTGAATTCAAGGAACGCGCTCAGCCGGCTAATCCTTGCCCGACTCGATTGCCTATGTCTAGTTTGCTTCCTTACAGAGGGGAACCCAAAATTGCTTGCTTTTTTTGCTTGATTGATGAATTTGATTTGGTTGCATGTCGTGCCTTAATGAATGGTACAAAAGAAAAATAGTCGGCAGCCAGATTGATTTTCTTAGCAATCATAATGATTGTAGAATATTTGTAGAAATCTATCTGCAAAGCATAAAACAGGATTGTCAGGAATGGGAAAAAGGCACATTAGACTGCCTATCTCGTCACGGTTGAGCAGATAGCCAAATCGTGTTATAGAATATATTTGAATGTATTTTTTTCAGGAATTCGTATGCTTTAACACTATTTTCCTGTCAAGGGTCAAACAACAAATTCTATACCGTACATTGAGAAATGCATTACATTTATAACAGCGCATGTTGGTGAGACGTTGAATCTGTGCAATATGGTCAGCCGCTCAAGGGCACAGATGGAAGTTTTGGTCACAAGCACACCGCACGACCTCCTAGAAGTTTTGTCATGCCGATAATGCAAATCATGACCGAGTCAACTTCGGTTTGCTCGTACTGTTTATTTGGACTTTAATATAGATCAGGTACAATATTTACGATATAAGAAATTTACGTTTGGCTTCAGACTTCATACATACAAAATCGTATTTCCCGGTCTAGACAGCACGAATAATCCGCGTAAGTAGTTGTTTAACCGTCTCAACCAAGCTCTGTACACAAATATAGAAGGACAATTCTAATCCATTGTTAGGGTTCGATATTTACATATGTAGAAGATTAAGAATAAAGAATAAGAATAAGAAAAAGTGGAAGATCTTTTCTGTCTTTCACTACAGATTGCTGGGAGTGCTCAAAAGATAATCGACCATGTCCATCCTATCACTGATCATCAAATCTACGTGAAGAACGCTTCAAATGTGACAACTTGTTTATAACGACTGAAATCCTGTATAATGATCGCCATAACTGTGCAGAACGCAGACAGATGCTGAATAGACGTCTAAAACTCAACTACTTTTTAAAACATAGATTACCACAGGCACTGTCTCCATAATCTGCAGTTGTTTTAGATCCGTTACAGAAAGGTTTACATTTGCCTCGCTGTTTATTTGTCTTAACTCAACGATATCGTTGTTCGAAGTTAAAAAAGAGCGCTTAAATTGATTACCCAAAATATTATATAAACTTTTTTTAATTACCGGTCTCACAGAATGTTAATGTGATTCCAACGCTACTAAAAACATAGCCACTTATACCGGTGATTTTCCTTAGTTAAAAAACACCTTGCTTCTTATTAATTCTGAGTAAACGAATATCCAATAAGTATGTTATAAGCTCCTAAAGCCACTTCTATATTGCTTAACAACAATATAGTATAAAAACTCACAGAACGTACGTCGAAGTTATTGTTCCTTATTGTTATGCCCTGAAGCCTGCGATAATCTACAAAATTTGCGTGAAACGATCGGTGTTAATCGATTGGCGGTAGTCAGTGGCCATGCTGCACTGACCCAGCAACCGGCAAGCCCTTTCATCTGTCGGGTCGTCAGCCTTCAGCTAATTCCGATACATGCCAATAGTGTGGGGCCTAGCTACATCGTTGAAAGATTGGAACCTGATAGTGTGTAAATTCACCAAAATTGGTACTTACTTTCATTTATGACAATAAATAGTTAACAACAATACATTAGAGTACGTGTCACTGTGTGCACAGCGATCCCCGCTGATATTATAGTGCAATATTAAGTAAAAGCTATGAATATTGTACTAATATATACAACATTGAATTTGTAGCATGTCTATAGCGTATTTACTTGTTTTCCTTTCAGTTAGGGTCACTGCATATATATATATATATATATATATATATATATATATATATATATATATATATATATACGCTTAAATAGTGTATTTTTTAGTATAATTTTGGTTCTAACACCGTACTTGCATATAAATATATAACTGATCTGCAAACATTCTTTCAATCAGTAAAATTAAACGAATTTGGGAGCTCTCTTCAAGTAAATGCTTAAACTTCTATTGTCAAGAAAATTGGACAAACGAGGAACATCGCACAGAGGAAAATACAAAGCTTTTCTTCTTGCAACGTCAGATATTACATTTGTACAAAGTTTTTCCATGCATGAAGGGTAAGGTTTAGCTTAAGCAAGGATTAGAACACATGCTAAATTTACTGATGTTTTGCAAGTTTTCAGTTAGGTAGTTCGTACATAACTAGGTACAATCTATATATATTTAAAGCTTTTTGATGCCACCTGTTTCTCCGTGACACATTTTGCAGTTTGCAATGTATTTTAAGGGGCTTCGGCATTACAACTCTAATACACATTTGCCAGACCCAACTCCAGAAGGAGTTCATATAAATTTTCAAAGCACCTTTAATCCAGCCCTGTATAGGTGTCTAGCTAATATTAATACAATCTACACAGAGCATTTGTTACTATCTCATCGCATCCAGATTTTCTCTTTATAGTAAAATAGACAATATGCTAAATCAGCCCAATTAGTACTTCAGACGCAATCCATTAGTTTTAGCGTTATTTCAAGATAGCATAAACTCGAAGAAATTACCTACACGGCGGCACAGAGCGTATTCGGTACAGAGCCTATTCATCAGACGCGCAAATCTAAATCTACGTCATACTAAAAAGAAAAACGATAGCATTGATCTGTGTAGATAAACATGGATTTTTATGAAACTAAATAGCGATTGTTGGGTCGCATATATGAACGTGTTCACCGATCAGCGTAAATACAAGCTTAGAATGCACTTTTTTGTCTTGCGCAAATTTTGGGGGATCTGACAACATTGCAATTATTATACAAACCATAATAGTGTAAGACGCATCTCACATAACTGATGCTCATCTAATCAAATGGCATTGCTGATTTGCCTAGCGGATAAGCTATCCTTAGTAAATAAGCTGGCAAAATCTCAGAAAAAAGACACTATTGTGACGGACCAGGTCCACTGTTAATCTCAAAGTAATTCACCACAACAGCATTGTTCTAGGCTTTGTCATATCCAAATGGAAGCTTTGTGGAATACTGTCACATAAATAAATGATGATGTTTCTAGCATCACATTCGCCTTTCAAATATTCACAACGCTCCGCAAAGAGTACATTCGATTATTCGTTTGAACCTTCCCTGTATTGCCTTCACTTAACACAGGCATCACTAGCACTTTGACCCACATTCACACCGATTTAAATCAGCCTCCCGCTATGCTAAACAAACAGCGTGCTTTTGTTCTCAAAGTGTTCGCCACAAATTTAGTTTACGGGATTGTGTCATGAGAATACAGCGGCTTAGTTCTAAGCGTTGGCTTCCAGTTCAGCTGCCGGCGTATCGGGTTCGTCGTCATTGTAAATGTTCTCTGCCATTTGCCACACTTGCATGATATTATCTTCAGATACGGAGCAAATCACCCATGGCTCATTGGGGTTCCACGAGAAGTCGCTGATTTTTGCCGTGTGACCTCCGTGGATAAAAAGAAGCTCAGGTGGACCGTCCTCGGCGTCTTCCGCACTCTGCTCTTCACCGATCTTCGAGAGATCCCAGACGTGTAATCGGCGATCAGTGCCAGACGAAGCCAGGATAGTTTCGTTATGCGGAGACCATTGAACCTGAAAGATCTCATCCTTATGACTTTCGAATGAATGCAACTTAAGCTTAAGGTTACGAAGATCCCATAAAGCAACCGTCTTATCAGCTGATCCAGTCGCTAAGATGAACTCTGAGTAGGGATTGAACGAGAGGCAGTTTACCTCCGCAGTATGGGCATCCACGGTGTGGCTAGGCCTGCAAAGATATTTACATTAGAATATACCACCGCTTCGTCGACACTATAAAGTGGATAAAGGTGAAACGATTGTCTAGGGACATACGTATAGAAATTCAGATAACGCTTCATTTTGAGTTGAAGTCAAGGGACCTCTAGCCGAGGCGTCCTCGAATTGCTGTAAATACGAACAGTGGAGTGCCATCAAGGCGAGGTCATTTCAGACGGCCTTTTCGTTCATCATTTGGCTATACCTCCCATCCTAGTTACAGTGTTACAGAATTAAATAGGCGTACTATTTAAAACTACAACATTTTAATGTATAATGCTTAATGAATGTAAGCACATATGTAATGTTAACAAATTATTTGAGTATTAATAGTGCTTGTAAGAGACTTCAGGAAACATGCAATGTTGTATAGACTATATATCGGTCACCTTACTTGTTTGTGTTAGGATTGCGGGTGTCCCAAATCATAAGCTTCTGGTCGTCAGCAACGGATCCAAAGAGGCTTTCATGCAGTAAATGCCAAGCGACATCCTCTACCACAGCAACGTGACCTGTAAAGATGCTCTTGGCGTCCACAATGTGGCCGTCTCGTGGCGGGGCATTGATATCCCACAGGCAGATTGTGTGATCGTCCGATGCCGAAAGTAGATGTCCGTTTAAATTCGGATTCCACGACAGCCCATAGCCCTCGCGCTGGTGCCCCCGCAATCTATAAAGAAACAGTTGATTAACCGCATTTCTTTTGGAGCTTTGAAAAGAGCTCGGTAAACGTGTAACGTTAAGGTACTCATGTTAAATACTGATGCTGAAAAAAACCAAGCCCCTTTTCTTAGATCAGATCCGCTATTAATCGCTTCAGCAGGTTCTGAGCATAAAGTGGAGATCGAGAGCCCCGAAAGCCCTTCAAGACCTCGACAGCCTTTCTCATTCGGCCTTTGGTCATCATAAATCGCGTAAGTATTCATACCGGTATACAAAGTACACTGCTAGCTTACCTAATAAATGTATTGGAAAGTTCGCCTGAATCTTTCAGAAATATACCTGAGATCGGGCTGGCACTCGCCCGAGGGGTCGGGCTTCGAAGGGTGTTTGGTATAGTCGAAAATCAGAACATCGCTTGAGGGAGTCTTCGTAGCAATGATACACGGATTTTGAGGCATGTACCTAGCACGGTTCACCTCACCCTCGTGATTGATCTTAATCTCGATATCGATTTTGCCGGATACTGATCCAAACCCGCCGAATTCACCTTTCTCTGAATCATAGTGCGTAGCGTCGAATTGGGCATCTTCGCCTGGCAGCTGAACCTATGGTTTACACATATAATATTTATAATACAATCCACTATACCCGATAAACTGGTAAGGGCTCCCAAAAACGGTTTGAAGTTTATAGATAGGTATTTTGTAACTGAGTAAAAATTACCGACACTCCCATACATACTGATGCGATTAACAAATGGTTCTGTTCATCAGACGTATGCGTTCCAAGAATGAGACGATGTACAGAATAATCCTTCCCTTCCGGCCGAGTCACATCTGGCAGCCACTGCGCCGTAAGAGAAGGCCACTCCAGTGCGTGGGTCATCACGAGATCGTACAAAAATGGAGTGTTTTTCTTCCATATTTTGTATTCTTCGTTAATCACACGCTCCTCAACTATAAACAGAAAAGTTTTTTAACCCATTATATTTTCTGCAGTATTAACTCATAACTAAATGAATGTTTACGCCCAGTACTGCCATCAAGGTCGTTTCAGACGGCAGCATATATCGAAGTGCACCGACACCCAGTTTCGAACCTAGACCACCACGTGTCCCCAGGTTTAGCAACCAAACGCATCGCTATCACGGTAGTATCAAGTTATAGTTGTTAATGACATACACGTTAAGCTCGATTCTTCCTATATTAATATATCTTTTACTCTGTATGTAATAAGGATCGACACAACAATTCCCTAGCTTATTTATTATATTTTTTAACAAGTGAGTGCCCATGATTTTAACAATTGTTAAGACAGTTGATGGAGGCTTTCGTCAAATTGTGGTCCCTCAAAAAGTCTACATTTAATCATTTCACTTCAGGAAACATATGCAAACATTAACTTTCCTGGACAACTAACGTCAAATGAACATTACGAGTGAATAGTCGATACCTAGTCTACTACGAAGCCAAGATCCAATACAATAAGAACGCAATGTTTGGTGCTTGACTCCGGCATATTTTGAATTGCTTGGCGCCAGGTCGATGTTAAGCGCCAGTTACTGTTAATGACATAAGATTAATCTTTCAAACAAAAAGGCGCATGTATTCATTCTAACTCTGCCAAATCGCATCTCAACAACCATTTGCGTCTAGCATAACAAACAGCAATAGTCACTTCCACATTCGAGAAGAACTTCTCCACACAGCACATGCGCATAATACACATTGCGGATGTAATATACTGAAATCATCTATATGGTGAACCAACCAATAGTGTCCATGATTTCTAGAGGAGTTATCCGAAAAGTGTACACCTCCGGCTATTATACAAGGTATAAATATAAAGCATTGGCGACCACCTCTCAACAGGCTTCTCGGTCTTCAAAATGTTTTCGCAATTCATCAGTTACCTTTGCGCTTTTTAAGCCTAGCCGCTTTGAATTTGAAGTCACAATTACAAGCTTTCAATGAGACAAACGTATTCTCCTAGACGATGTCACCTAGTTCGATCGTGTTAAATGTCCTCTAATGCCGTGAGGCCATTGATAGTCAGCGAACGATGGCTGGTAACCTCACCCCAATCATGTTCCACCACTGTCAAGTGAACACAAAACAGGCGGCTCGTTATCCTATCAGTGTTTCACACCAGACGCAGTTAGGTCTACCTCTCAATGTTACCACCTGGGCTTAATCAAGCACCAACGTGTACACTTTTCGTACTTACCGGCGTCTTTGTCTCCCATCTTGATTCTCGTCTCGACTCGGCGGAATACTGTGACAGACGGAATACAATTCTTGCCGGTAAGTGGCTCTCTACAAGAAAAATTTTCTCGCCTGCCCCACAATCAACCGAACGCGCCAAAGCCGGCGGCAACCCTTAGTTTGTAGTCAACAGACGCAACGACTGTTTCCGCAGCAAATATTAATTTGTTTCGAGGTTTTTGGCGGCAAACGATGTTTCACGACTAGGTTTTATTTTTGTTTCAACGAGATTCCGCTAAACTTTTCTTATAGTTCGATTGCTCACTCTTAAAAAACTTTAGCCACACAAATTTACAATAGAACATGCTTGGAAAATGTCCGAAAATTCGATCTGTAAACACGCCGTCTCAGCCTAATATGGCACAGGAACGATTCCTGCTCATACAATAGAGCTAGCAGTCGATATCTAGAACACACGGTGGTGGCTGTATTTGGTTCCTGTGCTTGGTTCATTCCATATCCTCCCGTATGTATTCAATCTCGCTGCTGAACTCAGCGGAGGAGCAATCCACTTCGCCCGCCCTCGCGGAAGTGATTAAGATAAGTAGACGTGGAAAAAGGGTGACACGTTAAAGCACGACAAGGGCGATGGGGACGATGGTAAGAAGTGCATGAAATGGGGTTTAAGGGGGCTCTGTCATAGTTTCGTAACGTAGCGTGTCTGCCCGGTAAACTAGGGATCAGGTAGTAGCCTGGGCTCGAATCATGGCATATATACAATTTGTCTCGTACTGGGAGACAGTCGTTTGACAGAATGGCAGTGCCGGCTGTAAGATTTGAAATATTTAGCCACAGGTATAAGGTATAAATCACTGTTTTTGGGCATCAATGTCCAGTGTCGATTTGTAACCACGTTGTGTATTGGCCTATGAGTCGCTAGTTCTATTGCAAATTGTCGTTGACACCACTGCCGCCGCTGCTGTGTCGTTCCCACCATAGTTGAAAGAAACGTGCTGCTAACGCCAACATCGCTGCTTCTGCAGAAATAGCAGGCGCTTTCTTGTTTTCTATCTGTATTACGGATTGTTTCAGTCCATCTCAGGTGGTTATGTTAGATAATCAACGTCAGTCATCGTTCTGCATCTGTGTCGAGGATCTGTCGGCCTCATACCTTGTGTGTATTATTATTAATTCCTTTTCTGCTGTTGTAGGGTTGCTGTCTGATGTTAAGCTGGCTAGATAGGGCAGTTGGTCTGCTTTCGCTCTCTCTCTCTCTCTGTCTCTCCTCTCTCTCTGTTTTCCTTTAGCAGTCGGCTGCTAGCTGGTGCTGATGACGATGTGAACGACGACGATTTTTGCCACTGCTCCTGCCTCAACTAGTATTGCTAGATAAGTAAATACATAAAAAGGAAGTTGAATGGATGGATGGATGAACGGTTGCTATACCCGGAGCAGTGAGCGAGCGAGTGAGTGAGTGAGTGAGTGAGTGAGTGAGTCAGTCAGTCAGTCAGTCAGTCAGTCAGTCAATCAGTGAGTGAGTGAGTGTGATGGTGGTCGTGCGTTAGTGATGTGGGACTAGCCGTGCTAAGAGGAGTGGAGCCACCATCAGGAGCTGCGGTGTGCTAATCGGTAGCAGCAGGAGCTACAGCAGAAACGAAACGAGGGTCGCTATAGAAGCAGCAGTGATGATTATGTCGGTGGCTGTGATGGTTGATTGTGGTGCTGCTACTGACTGTGGTTGTGACTGCTGTCTGTGCCTACGTTTTGGCCGGATGGGGTTCTTCTATTAGATGGTCATAGCTGAATAGTGGCTGCTGAAAACAACGGTGTACTGTAGACATAAGTGACATCTAGCTAGTGAAGAACGCTGCGTAAGTACTGTTGCTGAGAATAGAAATGACGTTGAGTAAATAAGTTGCATCCGACCGGTAAATCATGTCGACGATCTCCAATCATTGTTACGTATATTTGTATATTTCAGCCCTCGGCCCTTCAGTCGGCAGACAGCCACTGAGAGTCAATCACTGTCTTTTCCGTATTTCTAATGTTTCTGTGCTATGTGGATATGTCTCTGTTATAATAATCATAATAAGTGGGTTGAAGGTTGTGGCCACCCTCTGCCTGCCTGTAGTCGACACCTGTTGTCGGTCGCTTGGGACCGTTTTTGTTTCTAGAGAGAAATGCAATTTATGGGAATCTCATGGTAGACATCAGTTCGTGTCCAGTCGACGAAGTGCCGCGCTACCGTTGATGACAGACAAACAGGTAAATGAGTTAGCGACCCCGCTTGTTTGTTAGTGCGCTTGCCGAAAGAATGGAGCAATAGAAACAAGCGATTGCTACATAGGTGCTTGTGGGAAGTGTGTATGTACAATATGATATCGAACTGTATATACAGAGCCTGGACCACCTTTGTTTATATAATCTGACAAACTGAGACTGCCACAGACTCTTGAAAATAGGTCTATAAGCCTCCTCACTGCGGTCACTTTCTTCCTTAGGCCCTGCCAGTTGCAACTGCCAACGCTGCGCTCTCGGAACTGAGATCCGAGAGGTCAATTTTCTGCTGCTGATTTGTCACGGTGCCGATCCTCCAATGTTTGAGTCAAAACGATCCCCAAAGCCAGCAGAGCACTTGCCAGGTGACGGGAACTGCTTCACTCATTGTGATGAGATACAGAGGTTAGATGTGATATTATGTGTTTAAAAATATGTGTGTACACACATAGAGAAGGCGCTTGTAAAGCATAAAACAAGTGCCCAGGTGAACTGCGAAAAAGCATGGCTACATACGATTCTATGCTGCGTACAGTTCTCAACAATAATAAAGATACAGCAACCCGAACACGAAATAGTGATAATAGCATCGCAGCTAATGTCCCTTGTTCTGCATTTCAATGGATAAATGATCATACCCCGCTTGATCGTTTTCTGGGCTGCTCTAACAGCCGCTACAGAGAATACTGTGCGAACTGCCGATCTCACTGTGATCTTTGGACGGGAATGATGGCAATGCATGAGGCTGTTAGTCAGGGGTACACCAGCGTGTCCAATGCTATTGTTGGATGGCCATTGAGTAGCAGTTATCATGATGGACGGACGAATCCGACAAATTCAATGCCCGTAGGGCGACTAAAAATAGTTTTGTGCAATATATATTTATATATATATTTGTGTTATAACGCTATTGAAGCTCATGCGTTACAAAAAGGTAACCTTCTTCTTTCTTCTGTCCTAAACCCTTCCGCTTAAGAGAATGGACTCCATTAAATGGAATGCTGTCCCAGTGTTGCCACTAAATGCACAAATCTCTCTGGTGGCCCGTCGCTCGTTGATGGAGGGCGTGTACATATATCGATATCAACTGCAGAAAAAGGGTTAATACTGTTGCAACTATTCGGACGTTCCTGTGCATATGGATCTGTTTGGCTGTAGACTTTAGAGCGCGCACATAATTACGGCCTTACAGCTGTACACTGGAAAAGGCAAAAACGTAAACAAATGCCGAAGGCATCCATTACGATACATTTTGTATTTAAAGAATGCAAACAATATTCTCTTATGTTTGTGCTGAGCTAGGAGTAAAGAACTCGTTAGTCCTATGGTACAAACGATGTACGTAATAAAATTGGTGATTCACTGAACTTTTAGGCGAAAATACTGTGCCATTGACGGGCGAGAGGTATAATGAACAACTGTATCATGACGCACAATATTGTGTTCAGTGCAGCCGTTCAATAAATCATTTTATGAAGCGTTTTCCATAGATTAGCAATGATAATGGTAGGTGCTTGTCGCTATCGTACCATCGGAAGCTGTCTTAGCGGTCAACCCTACACAAGAAAACTTAGCTTTTCCTTGGTAACTTAACTGTATAGTGGGAAGATACATATATCCATTCAAGCGTTTAGTGAGCGCTACGCAAATCTCATTCGGCCTTTGCTAGTTCCTTTTGGACCGACACATTCTCGAGACCTCTGAACTTGTTGCTGAACTAGGGAATAACTTTAATATGACAAAGGTATTTCCTGACAAGGTTGTCGACGTCTCACGTAATTTAGCTTTTTTTTTTTTTAAATCCCGAGCCGAGTCGGCAACCAGCGTTCAATGTATGTCTGTGTGTATGAGCGCGATCAGGCGTTATCATCATAGAACGCCGATGGCTTAAAGGTTCTGGAAGTTAAGAGTAGATCCATGCCTCGCTATCACTTGTACTCTGTTCATCCTTTAAATCTGAAAATGGATGCTGAAACATGGATTGGCTAGTCAGTGGCGAAAATACTTCATTGCGTACTAGGAGAATGACTTACCTTCACTAATCTTATGTACTCCATTTTTTCTTTCGCAGTGATTCTCTAAGTCTAAAATCGTGAAAAGTTCGGTACACGCAGAAAATAAAAAAAAAAAATTGAACGTTAATCACGTAATATCAACTGGACGATGCTGAAGTTTTTTTTAGGTCCTAGTGAACCATTTTCCAAATAGCTTTCTTATGATAATTTATTGAATATATCCATGCTAAAAAAAATCATTCATGAAGCCATATGCTGGTTTTTCGTAAAAATATAAACGTAAACGAGTTCGTTTCTGCGATTGTATGTTTATATGCTTCTACTTTCCGTATTCACCTAGTCGTCAGGGTTGAACTCATTAATAAATACAATAAAATAGCATCAATAAGCATCATCTAAATATGACATCGCACTATTAGTGAGTCCTTAGGACGTAGGTTTCAGACAGGACAGACACTACAGTTAATTACGATTTATACGTAATACTGGCCTCTATGTTTCGTGTTCCGGTATCGCCATTAGGCGTTCCATCAGAGGACTCGGTAGCAAACTGTGTGTCTATGCTCGAGTTCGAACCTAGACCACAACGTGTTCTAAGATTAGCAGGCAAATACATTACCCACTAAGGTATCACAAGAATACCTATCGGGCCACAACTTGAGAATAGAGTCAGGTATACCAAAACAATATAGGGAGACGTCGTTGGCTATTGTAGAAGTATTAGCGTGATGTTGTGATGCAATCTAGTTTCTTTGCTGATTGCCTGAGTGCATCCTATTTAGCCCTTCACTCGTTTAATGGAGTGCGATGGAAGCTTGACTAATGTCATTATAGCCGTAACCTTGATTTGCATGTCCTATGATTGCTTGGATATAATAGATCGTGATGTTTTAGTTTTTTCATTAGGAAAGAGAGTTGTTACTTGAATATTTATCTGACAAGAAGGATATCTCGATTTATAGATTCGATCTCATTCACGATAAGCGAGAATTCGTAATTTTAGATGCAGATGTTTCGGTCGATCGACCGGCAATTGCTTTTGTAGTGTTATAAGTCATTTTTGCCTTTTTCCTTAGCCGTGCAGTCATATACCAATTCTTAATCTCAGAATCATTGACTATGATACTGTAATTGAAGATATTTTCATCTGAATAACCTTCATAAGTGTAAATGCATTTAAAAATATGTCCTAAATAAAAAATGCAATACAAAACGTTCATTCAGTAATCTTTTATCGAATTTAAAAATGTTTAGAGAAGTGATTGCAAGGACTTCGGCTTATTTAGAAGGTACGAACAAGTTGACATTGAGAAATCTCTTGCAACGCAGACACTGTTTGAATTCATTCACTATTTCAGTTTGTTATATTAAAACATACTTTATAAAAGTTTAAAGTTGGCTAAAATTACATCATTCCCGATGGGAGGAAAATTCGGTGCGTAAATTGTTTTGGCAGAACTAGAAAAAAATAGTTGCTTTAATCAAAAGCCAAACTGAATTTGTGGTTTCTTTTAATTTCAAGTTGTAGATCGTCCGTCCATCGCTCAAACGATGCTCAACGAACAGGGCAGTCGGCCGAAAATCTAGAGATTTAAAGTGCCAAAATTAAAATCGTTTTTGTTGAGGAGATTCAAGCTTGATTGACAATATGATAGAACTCGTTGAGCTACTCATGCTGCGTTTTCAATTCGTCTCCTAAAGAATATCAGTTGACGCTTTTATAGTCAACCGTTCATCAGGCGGAAGAGCAATTAGCAGTAATGCGACGACAACCAGGGTATATGCTTAATTCGATTAGCTCTAGTTAGGCTTTGTCTTAGCGACGTGAATACTAACATGCGTATATACATATCTGGAGGGTGAGCCATGGGCAATAGGACCTATCTAGGGATTTTCTATTCATTCGAAAACATTATTTGATCAAAAGCAGCCATTAAGAACTAAGTTGGCTTTTTCTAATTAAGACCTGTACATTTATTTTGCGGCTTAAGTTCATGATTAATTATATAAAAAAGATGAGAAGGTTGCCAGTGGCTGTGTGCTAGAGAATGCGTATTTTTATCTCTATTTTTTACTATCATTTAAGTTGGATTTAATCAGGGTATACCGGAATTTAAACGAAATCGATAAGTATACAGCCACGCTAGAAACGTCAAATGATAATAGCACATGGAAATGGACCCGAGTATTCCACTAACACGAATTGAATATCCAAGTTTTGAAGGTTTAGTGTCTATCAACAATCTAAGTGTTTTTGACGACAGAAAAAAGAATAAACTTTTTTTGGTAAATCGTAAACCTTTATTTTAAAATAAGTTTTAACATGTCGGGTATTCTCGCTAAAGAGCAAATTTCTACAGAAGAGGAGATTGCGTTGTATGTGTCACGGAAGTTCAGATCTTTTGGAAATGCTTGTTGTATATCGGCAGGTGCTATAACCAAAGCCATGCACTCTCTACATCTGTATTTTACTGTATTTCAAGTGCAATCAGCCTTCGTAAAACTTTGCTTTGCATTTTAATATCATAGACTACTACTCATTTTACAATATTCATTACTGCGTTATTTTGGTAAGGTAAACTTCTAGCTGTTTTGGGGATCCGATCGCAGTCATGATTTTCGATCAGCATAGAGTGGTTTCTGTGTTGGGGATCTTAGACGTATCATCTGTCTGTAGCTGTAATTTTAATAAAGCCTTCATTTCTAGGACAAAATAACATCATTGAACTTCCTAATCAAGTTTTTTGTAGGGTTTGTCACCTCTGCTCGGATATCATGGAACTGTCCCGCTTGTTCCAGCTTTTATTATTATGGCTTTTAATACCGTTCGTTGTACGGTCTATATATTTCCGTGCCCGTTCTACTATTACATTGAGTGGTAGCCTTTCTGCTAATGCGGTTCTATTGCATTTAGCCTCTATCTAGTGCCCAAATTATTCAGAACCACACAGTCTTGAATGTCTTCCTCCCTCCGCATTGTTTCTTTTATCGCCGCTTCTTATCGTGAGCTACTATGAGTCTGTTTACTACTTTGTAGTAGCAATAATAATAATAATGAGCTGTTGTCAACATGGCTGTTTGCCGAACCCTCCACCGCATCTCGCGATAAATCTCGCTCAATCCAGTAGGTCCCATCCAGTAAGCGCTGCACCTATAGCACAAGAGGAAGGGAGGGAGAGGAAAAGTAAGTGGCTGACTGAGTGGTTCCGTCGCGACATTGATATTTTTTGGCTGCAGAAGCAGCAGCAGCAGCAGCAATGGCAACATTGCCGTACGACCAAATCTATAAGAATAGCTAAGGCGAGCAGGTTTAGTGACTTGCAATCCGGAGATATTCGCATACACACACAAAGTATATAATGCGCAACGCCCTGCGAGATGATATAGAGAGCAATAGAAGGGAGATTTGCAAGTCGAAACAAACGAATGAATTATCCAGGGCGTAAGTGAGAAGGCATAAGCATCACGTATTGACCCGGCATTACTGACTCTATATTGATGTGAGAGAGAAATTGATCTTAGCGTTAGGCTCGGGTGGCTATTATTGTCATCAGCATTGCTTATGTAAGATCAGCAAATGCCGATGACACGTAATTGCCGTTGTGGTGCGCAGCTGGTACCGATTAATTGCTGTGGAGAGACAAAAATGGCGTGTTAAAGAACTGTCACGAAAAGCAACAGGATAGGACATTCTTCTCTGAACCTACTCTGTATCTCACATGGCGACTACCTATCGGAGGCTCGCGCGGATTATTCGAACGTTGCCTTTAGATAAGGATAACAAAACAAAACATTATGATTTCATAGTCAGAGGCATTTACGTGTATTGCGAAGGATTTTTTGCTCGAAAGAATATCACCGTATTATGGACCCGATATTTTCAAAGATGGCTGTCAACGTGTTGTGGAGAGCACGAAATAATTTACAGGATCCTGTGTGGCATTCAAGAAATGTCATTACAAACTAACATCAGGGTGAGTCATCATTTAATGCATACTAATACACGCAAAGTCTGTGCAATTAATGCGTGGACCCTCAGTGACAAAATTTCCTAAGCCATTATGTTCTGTGCGTATTATATGCACATTGTTAGGTTCCTACGTTTACCCTTGCTGTTACTACTGCTAGAGGGAAGAAATAAGTAACGTCGCCCTGGAAAAAGGCCGCTGTGAAAAATTGCTCATTCACTGCTGCTCCTATTTAGCTACTTTGGTTTCTTTTACGTTTAGTATTGCCGTAAAGCATTGCTTAGGACAGCTGCCACAATCCAGCGTAAGATAAACCGTGTATCTCCCTAGGGAAGATATCGAACATAGACGATTTTGTGTGTCGCTAGGTTTAGTGGCCAAACATGTTACTCTGGCACCATTACGGGGACGCATTGCTGCTATTAAAAGGAAATAACAATTCAATTGTAATTGTGTGCGTGAACTAGCTTCACGTGGTGTTGTTCTCGCTGATACAGTACTTGGCCGTACTGGCGTCTATGCAATAACACCAATAGAAGTGTGCCATATACGCAGTCCTCTGCGAACTGCCCTCGTGCGATTTGAATTTCTCCGTATTTTGACTAATTAGAGTCTAGTAGATCATTCCAGCTAAGCAAGTGTTGCGGCTAATGATGTCTAGTTTGCTTAGCTAGCAGTATTGAATTTATAGTTCGATGGACTCATTACAATGGACGGGCGTTGTTTTTTGTAAAACCTTTTCTGTAAAGAATCAAGTAAGGTGTTCATGTTTTAGATTTTTTGTGTTCTTAGCTACTCGGTGGGCTTGTTTCCTTTTTGGTATTATGAAATATAAGTAATTTCCAGGTAGCATATTGGATAGCAAATGGAGTGAGGCTTGAACTAGGCTTTTTACATAGCTGGAAACGATAAGGCACCCTGACATTGTATTATAAAGAATATCTCTTATTGCCTTAGGGTGACGTATATCTATTAATGAAAAAGCTTTGTGTGACGGCATTCGCTTGCTTCTTTTGAATATTTTTTTTAAAGAGGGGATCTAATTTACTTCTTTTCAAGGTATTGTTAAACCAAAGTAACCCAATTCCCGTTTATCGGAAATATAACCTTTAGGTTTATGGAAACTAAAAACATCCCTATTTGTATTTCACCTAAGCTTTGTTTTAAGCCAATCAAAAAGATATTAATTCTATTTTTTTCATATGTACTTTATCTAGCAGGCATTAAACAGGTAAGGTCTATTCATTGATTACTGTTTCAGCTATATTTCATTTAACAACTTGTATATGACTTTTTTATAGTATAGGTTTTTGGCCAAGTTAGTTCTTATATCCGACGATGTCAATGTACAGTCGTATACTGAATTATTGTAAGAAACGTATTTCCTTTAGTGCACCGCCTTTTAGTGCAATTAATAAGTTAAAACCTTATTTGTTTGTGTTGGTTATACAGGAAAAAGCAAGCTTTTAAGAAAAACATTGTAGGCAAAACTACGTTAATATTAGATAAAAATTTAACAATTCTGTCCAGGAGTGCAACGACAGATCAGCATATGGTATTCGTCACTGTAAATATTAGATTAAGCTGGCCACATGTGTCGGTCAACAGTAATTTTCACAGCTGCTCTAAATCCTTAGCAGGAAGATATCCACGTATTAGAGGTTGTGGAATTCTAGTCCAGGCCTAATTTAACCTTGCGACTACCATGACGACGACAATCCCGGTAAAATTTGAATTCATATGCAAGTTTTAAGGCACAACTTAAGCCTTTCCAAAAATTATAATACTATTGACTTTCGCAGATTTTGTTATCAGAAAAGGGCTATATCAATTTTTTGTTTCATGTCTTTTTTCTCACTAAACCTATTTACACTTTTTACATACCCTATTCCTACGCGCTCGGTCGGACATTGAAAAAATATAATTGTTTTTATAATTAAACGTAAGTTTGCAATAACGCTTCAATATTAACGTATATAAACTTATAATACTAAATTCGCAAACGTTCAAATTCACCAGTGGCGGTAGATCTGGTGTTAATCACCCTTATCGGCACGCCATAGACAATTAAATAATAGGCATTCTTTTGACAATGAATCATGAGCTATAGTACAGGAGCTAATACCAGACAATATCTCTTGAGCATTAACCACAGCACATGATGGAAATTTCCAAACGTATCCTTTTTAGATGGACAGAAGTGTTTACCAAGTATGTGCTTCGCTCCTTTGCTCGAGAAACTGCTGTAAAACCCTGTCAAAGAACTCGCAATCGCGCGAAGTGCTGCACTTTAACTTTCACAAGTTCCACATTCGATTCAAAGAAGGAGCGCATGAATTGTTTTTCTCGAAAAGAACTATAACACTGTGTAGGGATTTCCTTATGATTCGCAGTGGAGCTATAGAAAAAAAGTCGGAAAACGCACCCTTCAAATATAACTCCAGGTAGAAAACAGTTCCACTTTAATCCTAAAAAGCGTTTAGCTGTGGTAGTATTTATAGGCATATGGTAAATGCAGAAAGAAGATGAATGCAAGTGGCGTGTTTAACTATAGACACAGAAAAGGCTTAGGATGACAACGAAAGGATCATGCGGAATGATTCTTCTCTTTTTTCTTGAACGCGTGCCGAGGTGATTTCAAGCCTATTCTGCTGAGCCTACATATGCCCTTTGATCTTTTAGTGTTAGCTAGTGCTTAGACAGATTGTGATAGACAAACACCGTAGAAGCTGACGTAGCATTTTATTGAACATATTTTATCAACAATCTTATTTATTAAAATGTATCTACTTCACCGCACTTTATTTGTGGAAATAATACTGTTATTTCTGTAAACACTAAAATGTCACAAATAACAAGTGTTCGCAAGTTTCGTACACTCGAGTCTGTGTAATGTGGAGGCAGAATAGTGGGTTTTACGATTGCTAGGGGTTGGTCTGGTGACATCGGCCTAAATATCTGCCTGGGTTAAGTTGAAAAGGTAATTAATTTTTCAACCTGAAACGTTGTTTCACAAACTGGACTTCAAGCAGAACTTCTGCTGTAATCCGAAGCAGGCTGCATGAGCGACAGATGCTATTAAACACTTGGTAGGGAGCACTTACTAAAGGCAAAAGCTGCGTTCTCAAAGCTGATTCTGATGCCTACGCAAAGTTTTATAGTGACTAGCGCTCACCCGGAAACACATATATGGACTCATTTGGTGAGAGAGAATCATTGAATGCATTTTTATGTGTGTAATCGTGTATATGCACGTTCATAGCTGAATTACTACTAGGGTTACTAGCCCGTCCCAGTTCTGACTCCAACCTCGAAGATCATCCGGAGTCTCGTGAGGTAACTTGAAAGTTGGTCTATAAAATTTTCCATCGTCGATCTATTGAGCCGCGCCGAGCACCAGATAAAGGTTCCCGTTTTGGTACATTCTTTGTCGAGGCTAACGTCTCTGAATGACGTTGGAACAAGGCATACCTGGATTGCTTGTTGGCTGCTCCGCGCTCTTTTCTAATTTTTGGCAACTAAGACGGAATCAGCTTCTAGGTGCTTCAGCATCCCACGGTTAGCATCCACCCAACTACCCCGAAGTTTGATACCTGGCAGGCGCGAGTTCTTTACCTCAATCTCAATCTCAGCTTCTTTTCGGCCTTACTTTTGCCACCCGCTCCCTTCTTGTCTGCTGTAAACTGAGTAGATGAGTAGGATCAGTAGGAAAACAAGCCGTTGGACGAGATTTACTCTGCGAGAAACATAAATAGCGCTCTCAAAGTTTACTCAGCAACGCGCAGTATACTGGGTAGTTCATCACTATTACCTGTTGTCTGTGTAAAATAATGGGCCGTATCATTTCTCTAGCCCTTGTATATACGGTAATAAGCAATAGTGCTGAACCTGCTGTCGCTGAGTTGAGCCTGCTAAGATGCAACTCGCTTAGTGCGGCGAGAGCTTTGTTTTCGACCTCTTTTCTATTTCTATCCCGCGCACACCCTCGTTATTACATGAGTGACTGTCGATCGCTATAATGTTAGTGCTGGTGATGATAATGATGAAACGGATGCATCAAGTGGCAGTAGTAGAGGTTAGTACTTGGAAAAAAAAAATTTTCTCGCGAATCCGCCTTTTACGACGGGTCGAGGATGGTTACGCCAACTGATCGGCCCATGGACTCATCTACAGACTGCTAGGAATTACTAAGTTAACGCATATGCAGAAGTTCGCTAAAATAGCGAGAAACGAAATGCAACGCTCTTTCCATGTGTTGAATAAGCTATAGATGCTCTATGCAGCGCCGGTCATAAGCATAATTGTGCGGGGGGTAAGATCACTTATTGGGTATGTCGTGGCGTCTTTGCCGCTTAGCAGCAGCTCAGCGACGAGGCTGTGCAGCAGGCGGATTCGTTCGTTTGGTTTCTATTTTGTAACCATACTACTTCCTACAAGTAATATTTATATGAGCGACAGTTTATTTGTAAAATAGGTATGTCGTACTCCATCTCCATATGTCGGTTATGATGACTGACAGAAAGCCGTCGGCAACCACACTGTAATTAGGTGACGCGGTTGTTGAGCGATCATTCACAGGAAGGTTTATTCATGCACGGTGTATCTAGATGCCGTACAAAAATGTTTCAATCAGTCTGGCTATATTGGAGTTTATCGAAACCAAAAAAGAAGTTTAGTCTACTATATTTATCTCCATTCGCAATATTGCATCCGTAGTTGTCTTTATCCAAGGCAGTAGTTCTGTTGTACGTCCAGATCAGGTTTTTTTTTCTTTTTGCTAAATTCAGGGCATGCGTTTTTGTGTGATCGGTAAAATTGAGCTGTTGATGATGTTGCTGATAGAAACGGTCCTTTGTGACCGGCAGTAACATTTGCTTGATTTTCATTATTCTGTCGTTGCTGTTATGTTACCGATCAATATTCAATCTGTGATAACCGAAAAGCATGTGTATGGCCAAGCTTTTCCTTACTAACTTATGTCGAATTCACGTAACGGTAGATACCTCTTTTTGAGTGCAGTGGCAACAAATACTTTGCTTATCAACACTCTATGGTCGTATATTGTGAGAATATTATAAAGAATCCAACAGGTTTTCTCGCTTACATTTATTCATAAGTACTACATTCTTTCAATATCGTACGCATCCGTAAACTATAACATACCTGCTGTGAAAACAACTTTATTGAGAACTTGCCCACGTGACGTGTGGAAAGGTGCTAACCGAGCAGAGACCCATTCGGATTAGCGCAAAGCGTTGCCAATATGGTCCGAAGGACACGATGCAGGGAACATGTTTAGGCGTATAAAATGTTTCGTGTGGTATCAACATTATTGGAGAGTGCAAGTGATTTGAACTTTGAGTGTCTTACGTGTATATATTGAAATTAAGCAGACGGGTACTACCAGCTCAACGTATATTATTTCACTGAAAGCGTTTCGTAGTGAATAAGAATAGTTTTCGCGGTATTTTCTTCGATGGCGATTGCTTATTATCCCTACTGGTATGGCTTCTACGCGCTCAAAATTGTTGTTAGCAAAAATGTTGTCAGCTTAATTTTATGAATAATATTAGATTTTTTAGTTTTATGGGAGGATTTTAGGCATGCATTATAAATCCTACAGTACGACATTTATGTTGTTATCAGACCGACTTAATAAGCTTTATAAAGTCTGGTAAGTGGCCTTCGCGATTTCATAATGTGCGCGTATGTCAGCACTTGTTGACGTCGTTTTAGTGTGAACGAATTATGACGATAAACAGTAACAGTCTTTGATCAGTTAGTGCTACAGCTAAATTTACATAATAATTAGAATTAACGTTGAACTGGCCTAAAATCAAGCCGTCGGGCGTGGTCGACCTGACCACACCCGACCACAACGGAATCTGATCTTTTGGATGGGATACTTCAGAGCTATCAAGAATGCTTTCAGCTTATGAACTTTTTTTAGACAGTGAAAAAATAATTTCTTTACGGAATTCGAGTTTAACGTAATACAATCGTACCAAGGTTAAGTGAATTTTGGCGATTCTAATTTTGATATTACTGAAAACCTGAATCGTGCAACAATTCGAACATTCAAATGACTTGCCAAACGGAAGGTTGTCAACTAATCTTAAATATTCCGTATGTAACCACAGAGTAGGTAGTTTTCTTAAGTAAGCCCTCCAAGTCCACTGGCTAGATATAAAACTTACTAGGGCTGTTGGTTAGGTATCTAAGCTAATAATCTTCAAGCGATATCAGCGAAAGATTTGTTCTTAAAGGACAAGCAATATTACAGTGATATTTTTGTGTATTCTTTAGGCTTTACAATTAGATAGGGATTCGGTATCAGTTACTGGAGGGTCTCTCCTTTCAATATGAACCTTAAGCATTGACTATGCGCCTCAAGCTGGGTCACTTTGAAGCATGGCTTATTTAATTCCTAAGAATTAAATACATTTAGCTTTGATAAGATAAACTACCGTGATTTTCATACGTTAAAGAAGTAAACAAGTAATTTGTTGTCATTATTGTTTTTAATAATACTAGTATCATGTTGTTACCGACACCACCATTTGTCTTTTTTTATTTTCTGCTTATTTTTCATTTGAGGATACGGGACGTATTGGAAAAGAGATCATCGAAGCCTATATATCAACACAGCCTATTATAATCGTAGGAACTTCTGCTCGCACATTCACCGTCATACCATTTATCATACCATATAGAATAAACAGAGTTCATGTATACAATAGGTAGATTTGAGAAACATTTTGTTTGATTTAGTGTACGGGCTACCTGACTGGGAAGCTGACTACTGATTTATCCACAAGTGGAATAACTAGCTTTCACGTTCAAATTTAAAGAGATCATCTGGTGATTGTTTACGGTGAACATGTCTGATTCTTCCTAAGTCTATTAAGCCGAAACAATGTGCAAATTGGTCGTATGGCGAGAAAACTGCAGTGAAAGCTTACACTATACGGAGGACTTCATTGCACTCAGAACATTTGCTCTTAGCTTAAGAGAGGTTGGTGCAAATTGCACACCCTGGCACCCCTTCGAATTACCCCTTTTTTTTCGCATACACTTCGCGGACTTCTGATAGCGAGCTGCGCTATGGTACTATATAGCCATGCCAATTAATCACTGTGTAACCACACATGTGAGATGGTTCTCACTAAGTACTGGATATACGTCACTACGGCTGATTGTGTACCATGCATTTGATCCGTTCGAATGAACCATTACAAGAATCAAAAGGGAACGGAGAAGAGATAATTTTTCAAGTTTGAAAAGAATTCTCCTAAACGACAGATTTGTAAAATTGAGGAGGTAATGAATGCAAGTGGCAAATTGCAAGAACGAACAGATCGCTCAGATGTGTCCGGGATATTTATGGAAAGTCGAATTTGTGAGTGGGTTAAAGAGACGAGCGTGAGTAAACATGTTCGAGTAATAACTCGACATTCCGGAAATTCACAGTCCACGATCTTTTTAAACAGCAAAACACAACGTTAAGAAAAGTTAAATGGTCATGTTGAAACATTTTCGAACAATCCCGTGTCGAGTATATGAATATGAACCACTCAGTGTCAGTAATAGATGTCATCGCTAAAAGTTTTCATGCAAATTTTCAGGAAGCACTGGAATATTACCAACACCAGCATCGTTCTGATCGCCGTCGTGTGTGACCCACATCTTAGAATTTACCGACTTCATATCACTAAAGTGTCGTCGTGCATATCGTGGAAACGCGCGGACGTTAAACGATCAACAGCTAGCAACCTGCTAATCCTCGATTGGAGGGTCAATACCTATCGGAGAATGCTTGTTACGTTTAACTGCTGGTAGCAAGGCCGGCGGAGGTGGCCTACCTTGAGGGGGTCGCCGAGGCCAGCCAAGGAACTCAAACGCAACGCCATCAATACGATCAAATAGATACGGGACCTCGCCACAGGTATAAGCGTGGGGTGGTAGTTGTGCTCGTTGGAGCCGTCGTTAGTCCGCTTGATTGTCAACCAGTCGTATTCCCCCCTGATGGACAACGGGGGTGCACTCGGAGGTGTGACAAGTTATCAACCCGCAGCGACGGCAGCGACCGGCGTGGTTGCTCCACCAGCCAGTGCCGGAGGCCTGTCAAATGGTGGTGTTCAATTGTCGGTTGAAGAACACGCCCTCTACGAAGAGCTCTTTGCAGCTCTTGACGTTGGCGGTGACGAACGCATTCAGGGCTCACAAGCCAGTGTTCTGCTCAGAGCAACCAATTTACCCACGGAGACGCTTCAACTGGTAAGTCAAAGAAAACTCTACTGTTTTTATTACGTGCATCACTATTTTATTCCTTGAATTTCTATTAAAGTTATTTTTCCTTATTGGGGACTACGTAATATTTCCTCATTTCATAACCTTTTATATCGCATTTGCTGAAAAAACATTTGTTTCTAGCTCCTGGCAACATAGGGTAAGTTAACGGTAAGTTAAATCTGACGGACTAAACCGAACAAGTTAACCCCACAGCTCTACTAGCCGCTCTTTTATACCAATAGTCGTCTTCAGAAAACAGAAGCAAGAGATACGTATAGCAACATACGTTTCTCGTCCGCCGAACGCCCCTTAGATTTGTCATATACAGCTTCGTATCCTTGCGGCAATACAAACAAAATTAATACAAATATGTATATTACAGTGACTATTGTAAGTAACCTATTCTACTGACAGCACGTTTTTAAATTGCGATTCCTATGGACATGTATCTAGGTACTAGTATATGAATGCACCCCAAAAGGCTTGATTGCCTCCTCTAACTCTGTGCCCCAATTTGCTGTTTGCTGCTCTCAGTTTTTCTGATGCCTGTGCTTACGTTATGGAATCAGTTTGCCACTGTAACACTCGTACGGGCCTTAAGCTGTCCGATCTTTGCCAACCTCCATCATCATGCGCGGTTTGCTGCTTTTTCACGAACTCTTTTCGTCTCTTGATAAGCCTGTCGACCTCTTACTTACACAGATTTCCGCCTGTGTTCACCTGACTGCATTCAGCCTGAAACTAGATTCCATTTTGGGCCTGAATTTTTTTCAGGAATTCGACTTTGTCCCTTCACTGTAATGTTTAGTGACCACGCATTCACTACAAGTTCGACGACTATTCGATTTGCTGTCGGCAACGTACATATGAAGATTGGGATTCGCTACCATTAAGTGTCCTCTCCATTCGAGTCTTGAATTCAAGCTTTTATTTGCGTGGGCTCTGGACCTGGCAATTAATTGATTGTGTTAGACCAGTAATAGTCCAATTCTTTCGAAACTTAAGATACCTCCAAACAAAAAAGATAATAAGAACTAACAATGTAAAGAAAAGTTCTTTATATACACATATGGAAAGAAATAGTTAACATGTGTGTTTCCTCTCGCTGTTTGCATCGTTTTTTTCCAGATAACGGAACTTTCCGGCGCCAAGCGCGTTGGACACTTCGGACGATCGCAATTTTTCCGTGCACTGAAGCTGATTGCGGGTGCTCAGAACGGCTTGAAGCCCTCAAGTGAGGTGTTGGCAGCTCCGCTCCCTTTGCCGAAGCTCAACATGGCTACAGCTCAGCATACAGCATCGACTCTACTTAACAATAATAACAACAACAATAACACAGCGAGTGCAAACAACTGCTATGGGGCTGGCCCAGGTGCTGTGGCCGACAGTCGGAGTCCGGAACAGCAACGGCCGCAGCAACAGCAGCAGGTGGGCGGCTCAACAGCTTCAGCCGATGCGGAAAAGACATGGGCAAGCTTTAACTGCTTGGGTAAGAATGAGAGAATATGGTTTTATCTTGCGCGGTATCGTGCAAAAAGACGCAGAAACAAACGTCCATAAGCACCTACGTACTCACAATCGGATTAGGGGAACAGCAGGCTCGAGCGATACTCGTTTGTTGTTATAATCCCGATGTAATTGAAATGTAGTCAGAAACACAGATACATACAATCTGGCCCAGAAAGCTATACAACCGCGGAATTTGGTTCCTTAGTGTCGTGAAGAAAAAACACATAATTCATATATATTTACTCAATAAATAGGACCATGTCTCAATAATGTTAACAAGAAACAAAATATGGCTAATATTAGTGGAACAGTTACATACTCTATGGATTTTGCTTTTATTACCTGTTTGACTAAATTAACAATTGTTTTTTTCTAGCAACAGACGAAGAGTGGTCGTCGTCAAAGTTACTTCTGCAACAGCTTCACACATCCTCTGAGGAGCACCGTCATTTGCTCGGGGGTACTGCGGGAGACGAAGTCGATGTCGAGACTGATTCCGGTCGGGCAGGCGAGACGGAGGACGGCGAAGATGGAGAAGGAATCTGGACGATCACTCGCGAACAGCGAGCTTATTATGTAAAGCAGTTTGCGGGAATGCAGAGCGATCTCGAAAGAGGCAGAATACAAGGACGGCAAGCGAAAGAGTTTTTTGAAAAAAGGTATGGATGCTATACCCTTGAACTACATAAAGGAGATTTGAAGGAGGAAGTTGTCGTCCGCCTTTAGTACCCTGTTGTTAAATGTATCGCTGCTAATATCTTCACGTGAAGGATCCACTATGACGATTAATCAAGTTGTGTTGAAGTACAGTTTATTTGCCTGTAAAATATACTGCGTTTACAGGTTTTATGCGCCTCTTGTATATAATAGGTATGTACCTCCACGCAAGTTTCAACCGATTTAGTCGACTCTTATCCGCATGTTAGCTCTTTTGGGTTTAGTGTTCTAAGACATATGCAATACCATTTTTCCCATATGCAATATGGGAATAAAAAGTGACTGCTAGGATGATCGTAGTTATAACGCGTATGTGCGTTCTTCTGTCTTTTCGGTACGCCTGGCGGACTATTATATAAAAAAATTGACTGTCTATTAGCCGTCTACCCGTGGCAGAGCTATCGCGAATTTGGCAGCTGGCTGATATCGACCGTGATGGCCAGTTGGCGCTTGATGAATTCTGCACGGCTATGCACCTAGTCGTATTAAGGAGAAACGGAATCCACCTACCAGCCCAACTCCCTCCGCAACTATTACCAGATATCCCTCCGTTGATTCAAACTAGTCCTCTGCCGGTACAACCGCAACATTCTCAGCCACTCGCTACAGTGGTCGGAAGTAGCGGCGCCTCTGCTGCCGGCAACGCAATCAACCAAACACAACAACAGCAACTTGATAGTAGTACCCATCATCGTTGCCATCAACACCAGCAGCAGCAGCAGCAGCAACAACAGCATATAAGCACGAAAAACAGCACGACGAGTGACACTACTAACAGCACCGCGGCCATGACGACGACGTCATTGGTCAATAGAGAGAGAGGAGCTGGAGGCCAAGGTAAGCTCTTCTGTCCTGTGTCCACTATTGACCTTTTGTTCATGATATTAAATACTGTGATGTCAGTACTCGTGACATTATAGGTGACGTATACGTAACTGATTGTGGGTCCGCTGATCTTATCGAGCGCAGATACCAACTACGGCCTTTGGGTCTGTGGATAGAGCAGTTTATTGAATTTTGATTAATGAGGTACCACTCCGCAGCTCAGTGGCTCAACGCGCTCTACTCAAACAATCAGCGTCCATTAACAGTTCAGCTTCAATAACGTGTTTCATCACGTGCCATTTTAGGTGTAACGTCTTCACCATTGACTGCACCGATAAGTCTCTCAAAGCAATGGATGAAATTTAGCCCGTCACCAACCTCTGGCCCCCTTGGGGTACAACAGAAACAGACACAACAATCGTCACAGCAGTCGCTTCCGAGGACTAGTCCTACCGCAGGCGAAGTGGGCACTGGCCCAGTATCGTTCGACTTCTCGACAACACTAGTTAATCAGGACCCGCGCATTTTGCACCCGGTTGCACGTCGGCCCCCTTCATCACCTGAGGGTCAGATGGGCGCGGGCGGTGGTGGGGCATTTAGCTGTGACCCCACCTCTATTCGCCCGACTGGCTCTATAGTGGTAGATGCTCCATCCGGAGGCACTGGTGGTTATGTTATTATGAATAACTCGTCTGAAAACGATCACGACGCACTCGACGCGCTTGAGTCAGGCGCGCCACACCTCATATCTACAAATAGGTGAAATAATGTATAGAAATGTACTAGTTAGGATCAGGAAAGTGATAGCTATAAATTTCTCACAAACCCCTGGTAACATATAAAGGTTTGTTTTATCCCTGTCGTATTATAAGAAAGAGTGGCTCGTTCTACTTGTACATTTTGTTGTTGTTGTTCGCGTCTAACACATATCAGTATTATATTTAATATAAACAGCGCAAGCGTGAAGATGTAAAAGAATAATGTATTGTTGTTTGCCTCTCTGCAATTTTACAACGTGCAGTTCTTTCTCCGCCCCGAGCACGGCGGACGCGTTGTTGATGTCCGGTATTGGGAGTGGCAGTGGAGGTTGTACGGTGCTAAGTGGCAGCGGAACTGGCGCAGTAGTTGTTGGAAATTCCCTTTCAAATGGCGGGGCTCGAACGCCCCTGGCTGCCAAGAAGGAACCACCTCCGCCGCCACCTCCCCGACCTCTCCCGGCACAGCACAGGGGACATCATGCCCGCTCCTCGTCGCTCGACCTCAATCCTCGCGCCACTGGCGGACACCCGTCATCGGGGACCCCTTTAAAGGGCCTTTTCCCGCCTGCTGTGCCTCCTCGCTCCTCGCCGGCCAACGGTGTCGGTGCGATCGGAGGATCCGGAGGCGTCGCACGAAGTCTATCTGGGGACAGCAGTCGAGGTGGAATTAGTCAGATCAGTGGTAGCAGTAGCAAACCCCCAAAGATCGGCGCCGCTGGTGGAGCTTTTCAAGTGTACAGGTAAATTAACAGTTGGTTCATCAATTGGCCAATTGAAACTCTTCTGCATTTTCCGTTTTTTTTCCGTTTTTTTCAATACCATACCAGATAGAAATCTACGAAATTGGGTTAGAAACGAAATTCATCGACAGAGGCTAAATACGCATGTAAGTATAATTGCCCATTGCGTTATTTTCGTAAGAGCACCTGCGAAGAAAAGGTCAACTACTTGCCAGCTGTTGCTTCTACCCTCCCCCTCTTCCCGAAATCGATCCTAAATTTGCCCTCGATTATCGCGGATGATTTTTACGTTCTTCTATCTATTGTACTTCCTTAGCGGCAAGACAAGAACAACAATGAGAAGTGAGGCTGCAGAACCAGGAGCTGCTCATTCAAGATGCGCTTCGGATTCCTCTTGCTCCTCATCGTCATCGTCATGTAACTCATCATATGAAGACCTCAGTCTTGATCCTACGACGGATGATGCTGCCATGCTGCTCGTGGATGACGACCATACGGAGTGCGGATACGTGGACACGGCCCAGCAAGCCGGCCAAGGACAACCGGCTGGACAAGGCATGCATCTTCACAGACCACATCATCGCAAGCACGAACTGCCGGATGCTATGATGGCTCAGTTTATCACGTGAGTTACCGATTTTTTCTACTTAACGAATTGTAATTTAATAATCGTAATTTCTAATGTTTAGGTTGATCAGTTTGAATTGGAAGGTTTTTTCATAAATCCGGAAATGGTATCTAATTTCATTTATGATGTCATAGTTATTAGATCCACCTCTCTTACAGCTTAAGTTCCGGATTTTAACCACTCACAGGCTTGCTCCAAATGATCATATTAACAGCATTAGTGAGCAGTGGACTGTGCCGTGTCGAGATATATTTAGTTTTCTGTTCAATCGCGCTCTATCCATAATAATCGACTGGGTTCAAATCTAGGCATTAGTTGGTCATATATGGTCGTTTCAAAAACTGCTCCTATTCTCAAGTAGTTAGCCCTGCACAAGCCGACTAGTGCGAAGCGGTCTACCATTTTTCTGGAAGACGTGCGGCCTTGTTTTAAGTATTTTAGCTGTCTACGGTTGCAAAACAGTTTACAGAAGCTATACATAAACTTCTTTGGCAATGCACTGGTCTTTCTGAAAAACGTATTTAATCCCATATAGTAGACAATGCCGTAGACTGTCGATTTGGTGTCACCATAGAAGTTTATGATCTCGGTGAGGGTTCGGATCGTGTAAGGACATTGAATAATAGTTGGTTGAATAAAGTGAAAAAACGACGCATTGTTTTTCAGCATGGCTGTGAGCCTGTCTAGATCGTCTTTACGACGAGCTTTTTCCAGTGAGACTGATTTTAAATAAACCTATTTGGTAAAGTACGGGCAACCAGTGAAAAGTGGTCCCGTTTTAAACTTGGCGCCACGCAGCAATAAACAAGCAAGATACAAGTATCGCTATACATCAATAGAAGCCGTAAAAATATGTATTATTTCACATTTATATGGATTCCATAACGACTCCGTTATTGATCAGATTTAACGTAAAGTTTCTTTGTTAACAGGGACATTCCTACGGATCGGGAGCAGCTCATTCGAGACATCAGCGCCCATCGGGAACGTAATGCAATGCTTCGTGAATGGAACCGTGAGTTACACGATGAGCTTCAGCAGCTCGTTCAGGAACGCCTATCTCTGCAGAGTCAAAAACAGCCGACATCAACGATTTAGACATGTGGTCGGCAGGGAGCATTTGGCGATACAATATCTAACAATTACTACTAGATTAAAGTGAAGGAATAGAGCTCAATTAGGCTCGAACACAAGTGTGCCTATATCTAATGGATAAGTACCAACCCATATTTGAATTGACTAGATGTGCCACTAAAGGTTCTGGTCAATATCATCCTCCAACGAGAAAAAAATTAAAAAAAAAAAGAAAAATCTGACGAAAATGTCCATGATGATTTTCATGAACCCGATGCTTTCTGCTTTCTCATGTACTGAAGTGGAATGGCAAATATGGGAACTGTAGAAATATCAGAGAAGACAAGTCGAAATGGTATATGTAGCAAGAGTCGTCTCAAAGCGACGCAAAATCAGGAGGTTCACGTTTAGGTCCTTCTAGCCATTAGTGACGAAAAAAATGACGTCTTATATGGATGAAACAAGATGTGAGACATAGCATAACGGATGTTGTCTGCGCGAAGTAGCACTAAATGGGCCATACATAAAAAATAAAAGGTCCACGCTTTAGATGAAAGTTATACCAATGACTAGTAAGAAACATACAGACAAAATGAGAC